AGATGCTGGTCATGAGAATCCGCAAATGTAGTGTCTGTTATCTGGCACACTGACTGACGGGCTGTAGGTGCTGGCCGTGAGATGCTTCCTATGTAGTGTCTGTTGTGTGACACACTGACTGCTGGCTGGTTATGAGAACTCTACCCAGTAATGTGTCTGTCCTCATTGTGTGAAAGCTGCTGTCTGTGTAATTACAATTTGTAAGGTATGTATGTTTGTCTGGTATCACCGTAGCTTGTTCTACTGTCGACAAAAGCATGTTTGTCTCAATGTTGACTCGTTGAAGTACAAATTACATTGTATGTATTTGTTTCAAAACATAAAAGTTTAATATTTGTTATCAGTCTGTTGTTTACAATTTGGAACCTCTAAACTACATGTAATTACATTGGAGACAGGACCTCCAAACTACATGTAATTACATTGGAGACAGGCCCTCCAAACTACATGTAATTACATTGGAGACAGAACCTCCAAACTACATGTAATTACACTGGAGACAGAACCTCCAAACTACATGTTATTACATTGGAGACAGAACCTCCAAACTACATGTAATTACATTGGAGACAGAACCTCCAAACTACATGTAATTATATAGGAGACAGGACCTCCAAACTACATGTAATTACATTGGAGACAGAACCTTCAAACTACATGTAATTATATAGGAGACAGGACCTCCAAACTACATGTAATTACATTGGAGACAGAACCTCCAAACTACATGTAATTATATTGGAGACAGAACCTCCAAACTACATGTAATTAGAGAGGAGACAGAACCTCCAAACTACATGTAATTACATTGGAGACAGAACCTCCAAACTACATGTAATTATATAGGAGACAGAACCTCCAAACTACATGTAATTACATTGGAGACAGAACCTCCAAACTACATGTAATTACATTGGAGACAGGACCTCCAAACTACATGTAATTATATAGGAGACAGGACCTCCAAACTACATGTAATTATATAGGAGACCGGACCTCCAAATTACATGTAATTACATTGGAGACAGAACCTCCAAACTACATGTAATTACATTGGAGACAGAACCTCCAAAATACATGTAATTATATAGGAGACCGGACCTCCAAACTACATGTAATTACATAGGAGACAGAACCTCCAAACTATATGTAATTATATAGGAGATAGAACCTCCAAACTACATGTAATTACATTGGAGACAGAACCTCCAAACTACATGTAATTATATAGGAGATAGAACCTCCAAACTACATGTAATTAAATTGGAGACAGAACCTCCAAACTACATGTGATTACATTGGAGACAGAACCTCCAAACTACATGTAATTACACTGGAGACAGAACCTCCAAACTACATGTAATTACATTGGAGACAGGACCTCCAAACTACATGTAATTAAATTGGAGATAGAACCTCCAAACTACATGTAATTAAATTGGAGACAGGACCTCCAAACTACATGTAATTACATTGGAGACAGAACCTCCAAACTACATGTAATTATATAGGAGATAGAACCTCCAAACTACATGTAATTACATTGGAGACAGAACCTCCAAACTACATGTAATTACACTGGAGACAGAACCTCTAAACTACATGTAATTATATAGGAGACAGAACCTCCAAACTACATGTAATTATATAGGAGACAGAACCTCCAAACTACATGTAATTACATTGGAGACAGAACCTCCAAACTACATGTAATTATATAGGAGACAGAACCTCCAAACTACATGTAATTAAATTGGAGACAGAACCTCCAAACTACATGTAATTACACTGGAGACAGAACCTCCAAACTACATGTAATTAAATTGGAGACAGAACCTCCAAACTACATGTAATTACATAGGAGACAGGACCTCCAAACTACATGTAATTATATAGGAGATAGAACCTCCAAACTACATGTAATTACATTGGAGACAGGACCTCCAAACTACATGTAATTATATAGGAGATAGAACCTCCAAACTACATGTAATTAAATTGGAGACAGAACCTCCAAACTACATGTAATTACATTGGAGACAGAACCTCCAAACTACATGTAATTATATAGGAGACAGGACCTCCAAACTACATTTAATTACATTGGAGACAGAACCTCCAAACTACATGTAATTACACTGGAGACAGAACCTCCAAACTACATGTAATTACATTGGAGACAGGACCTCCAAACTACATGTAATTAAATTGGAGATAGAACCTCCAAACTATATGTAATTAAATTGGAGACAGGACCTCCAAACTACATGTAATTATATAGGAGATAGAACCTCCAAACTACATGTAATTGTATAGGAGACAGGACCTCCAAACTACATGTAATTACATTGGAGACAGAACCTCCAAACTACATGTAATTATATAGGAGACAGGACCTCCAAACTACATGTAATTAAATTGGAGACAGGACCTCCAAACTACATGTAATTGTATAGGAGACAGAACCTCCAAACTACATGTAATTACATTGGAGACAGAACCTCCAAACTACATGTAATTAAATTGGAGACAGAACCTCCAAACTACATGTAATTACATTGGAGACAGGACCTCCAAACTACATGTAATTAAATTGGAGACAGGACCTCCAAGCCATCTGATGATGTACCTAAAAGAGATTGAAACGTTATTATTATTCATGGTTACCTAGCTCAGTCAGTATAGCATCAGACATCACAACTTCAACAGAACATCATGAAGACATGTCCTAGGACGAAACAGCTGTTTGATATACAAATGTAGCATCACTGAGAAGTCCTAGAAGATGAATCAGCAGTATGATGCAAGTTAATTAATTGTTTGACTCTAATGTGTAATGAATTCAAAATTTGTATTAAGTTTTATGGAAATGTTTTCCAAACTCAAGATGGATGCTTCCATCAACAAAATAACTTAGATAATCGGTCTTTGACCTAACCAAAATCAACCTCACAGATGATACTTTTTTTTTCAGATATTTTTGCCTAGCATGCCAGTGATTAAAATTTTTGATTGAATCGTACTTGTGTTTCTGTCAAACTTTTGGAGTTCAGTGAGACATGGAGCAATTTTCTGATATACTGATAACTTGGTTCACAAGATGCTTTCCTGTCGGTGTATATCTGTAAGCTACTACATGGTTAGGATGTACTTGATTTTAATTCCCATTCTGCCAAGAGTCAGGTCAATGTTTTCAGGTTGCCTTCCAAACTCAGCAGGCAAGCAGTGCTAAGTTATTTTATGACAGTAATTTGTGAGTTTATTAAAACTAACATACCTCAAAGTCAGTAAAGGAATTGAAGAATGATAACATGTTTAGATAAACTAGAAAAAAGTGGTCAGCAGTTTGTGGTATTATAAGCAACTGATCATCATATGTCTCACTGTGGACTTACAGATTATATCAACGAGGTTTATCTAACTCCTGCTCTGGTTAATTGAAATTAACAGATAACAGTACTGTAGAAAGATTTTATGAATATGGTATATTTTCCTGCAAAAATTCTGTCATTTATAACAGCATAAATGCCATATCACAACAGTTTGATGCTTATTACACTCCTTTGATTCATATTGTTTTCTTATAGTGATAACGTGACTTTTTAAACTTAGATAAACACTCAATAACGACAGTGTGATCCGTCAAATGGAACAGCCATTTTGACAGCAAATTGTTACTGCTTCTATGCCCTCAGTACTGATGTCATAATAAACCTGCACTTGATGGCATTTATTGTATCATAAATCATACACTGTTTAGGTTTGTTTATATAGTGACATTGCCTTGTAAATATCTGTCATAGAGAGTTAACATTTGCTGCTATTTAGCTGTCAAGAGTTTATAGATAGTAAGGGATTGTTCTATCTACAACACATTAGTTGGTTGTTTATCTATCATTAGAAGATTACTATTCGTCTGTCTGTCATTAGGAAATTGCTAATCGTCTGTCTGTCAGATCGCTAATTGTGGAATATCACTATTCGTCTGCTGTCATTAGGAAATTGCTAATCATCTGTCTGTCATTAGGAGATCGCTCATCGTCTGTCTATCAATAGGAGATCGCTAACCATATGTCTGTAATTTGGAAGTCACTAATCGTCTGTCATTAGGAGATTGCTAATCATATGTCTATTATTTGGAGGTTGCTAATCATCTATCTGTCATTAGGAGGTTGCTAATCATCTGTCTGTCATTAGGAGGTCACTAGTTAAGAAACATATCAGGTAACCTTAGGGTATTATTATCTGATTTACATAGAGGTGATAGAAAACTTTAAGATCAACAAATTAAACAGAAACACCATATATACAGGTAAATGAGGTTGTTTAAAGTTACTTAGTATAAATGTGAAGGACAGAAGCAAAACAGAAGCAAATCCCAAACCAGAGATTGACACCCCTCCCTTGTGTGTTATATTAATCACCAATAATGACAACCCTCTGTTTGCTGAACTTGTTGCTGATGTATGTTGTAGACTTGCTCAAGTCCTTCCATCCAGCTGAAATGTTGGATATAAAATACATGTACTATGGAATTGTACCAATAAATAGTAATGAAGAACTATTAAACTGTTGACATGTAGTTATTTAATGAGAGTATTTATGCAATCATGACCTTGTCACTCCCCTCCCGACCTCCACTTCCACACCCACATCTCTCCCCTTTTTTATCTATTCACTTACCTACCTTTTTTCAAAAAATCCAAGTATCAAATCTGGTTTGAGAGTATAGTTATCTCCCTTTTCTGATAGAGTTTTGAAGTCTCCTTTTTTTAATGTGAGCGTATATATGACTTAGCCAGTTACTTTAAAGTTTATTCTTCAAAAATGGTCACAATTTTAATGTTTCATCAAAAGAAGAAAACATGTACAGAAAATGCAGGTGTTGAAAATAGCAAGAATGTAACAGTCATAAATTTGATGATAACGTGGAGTTTATTTATTTAACTGGATAGTTGTTTAATGTTCTTCACTGTTGTGTATTTCAGGAATAATCTATGATGGAAGAGGACCCTCGAGAGTTATCTTATTCCTCGGAACATATAGAACAACTTCTCCAGTGTGCTATCTGCCTCGATCGTTTTAAACAGCCTAAACTTCTACCATGCCAGCATACATTTTGTGAAACACCATGCCTTGAAAATCTTGTCAACTTTCTCACAAGAAGTATAAAATGTCCAGAATGTCGGGCGGAGCACCGTGTACCCTATCAAGGTGTGTCGTCGTTTCCCAACAATCTTACGATAAGGAATTTTCTAGAAATTCCGACAAAACGTGTCCGTCGGACCAGTGGTGGTGCGGGGGATGGGGCAGGGAGTTCCTCTGTTGCATCAGGAAGCAGTGGTGTAGCAGGGGGTAGCGGGGGTGCATGTGCTTCAAGTGTGGGAGGACAGTATATAAATGCTGTGGTCCAGGAGCGAGAGCCACCTACAGCGGCAGCATCCCGCTCCGGGTGTACAATATGTACAAGGGAGACAACTTTGTCAAGATGTGCTCACTGTGACCAAGTTGTATGCGATGCTTGTAAAAGATCTCATATGGACCATATCAAGCTGGATGTGGCACGTCTAGTAAGTCAGATACGACGTGGTATACCACACATGTCTGATGCTGTCAATCACATGGAGATTAAGATTGAAGCATTAAGGCAACGGTCGGAGGGTGGTAAGGCAGAAATCACTGAAATCATTGAAAAGTACATAGCAGACCTTCGGGGACGCCAAAGGTTGTTACACAGTGAGGTGGAAATGTTTCTCCTTGGAGAGATACGGGCTCTCAGGATGCATCAAGAAAACCTTGAGGTAGAGATGGCTAGTATAGCTAGTTTCTGTGATACAAATGAGTCAACACTGAGCAGATCTCAACAAAGTGTTCCTGATGAGGACGTCGTAGAGGCAAAGAAACAATGTGTGGAATACATGGAATTACTACGTTCCTATGAATTAGGAAATTATCCCACACCAAGGGAACGCTCTCTTCAATTTTACATGGAGGAAAACAGACTTTCAAATGCTATTGCTGGTTTTGGAGAAATTGTTACTAATAACTCGCAGTCCACTTCTGAGAGTCAGTCATCTGCTTCATCGAGGGATTCCTCGCCCCTCGTGTCTCTGACAAACATTGTGTCCTCAGGCACCTCCTCTCTAGCTACCACCACCTCCACTACCTCCATGGCTAGTACTGGCCCCATGAATACTGACAGAGCCTTGGCACTCATTAGAGGAAACCACCTTCTGAATGCTTTTACAACGCCTGCTCCATCTTCTGACTCTGATTCTGAGTCACGGAACAACCCCCTACCGAGGAGGACACTTCAGGAGAGGCGACGTGCACATATGTCTGACACAAGAATTGCTGGGTTGCTGGCAAGTGGTGGTGGAGGTGGCGGTGGTGGTGGCAGTGGTGGTGGGGGTGGCACTGGCGGTGGTAGTAGTAGTTCCAGCCCAAGGACCTCAACAGCCAGTGCTTTAAGGGAGCGTCGCTTGAATCGTAGTCTGAGTACTGGAGCTTCTTTATTTACACCTGGAACAAGTCTCACAAATCAGTCCTCAACTCCCATACAAGAAGAATCCTCAAACTTATCTTCACCACGACCGAGAAGAGCAGAACGAAGCAATACTTTTAGCAGAGAGGAAAGTAATGCTGGGTCTGAGGTGGTGGTACCACAAACCTCACGTGTCAGTTCAGCAGGTGCTCGTAGTAGGGCCAGGCCACCAGTCAGGTTTGATGTAGGCCTCAATGACAATGGAGGTCAAGGGGACTTACCAGGACTGGAACTATTGTCTTTCACTGAAAATGAGAGTTGTGTCGTCACTACAGCTACAAACAACTATCAGGATAAAGGAAGGGCCATTATCAGATTCGGACAGAGAGGTACAGACTTCATGCAGTTCACCTGGCCTCGTGGTGTGGCAACAACGCGTGATAATAATATACTTGTAGCTGATAGCAGCAACCACAGAGTACAAGTTTTTGATTCTGTTGGAAAGTTTGTGAAGGTTTTTGGCTCCTATGGTCAGGGAGATGGTGAGTTTGATTGCCTAGCAGGAATAGCTGTCAACAGCTTTGGTCAAGTCATAATATCTGACCGCTATAACCACCGTTTACAAGTCTACAATCGGCGTGGTGAATTTGAATTGGCCTTTGGTGTAGAGGGGTCAGAACAAGGACAAATGTTGTATCCTTGGGGTGTTGCTTGTGATAACATGGGCTTTATCTACGTGTGTGACAAAGAAAATCACAGAATACAGGTGTTCCAATCAAATGGCAGGTTTGTGCGAATGTTTGGAGCGCTTGGACACCCTTGTGGTCTGTTTGAAAATCCTCATTATGTGGCCATCAGCCCAGATAACAAGATTTACATCAGTGACAGCAGTAACCATCGGATACAAGTCTTCTCCATGTACGGAGACTTCTTGTTTGCATTTGGGTCTCCAGGCACTTTGGAGGGCCAGATGAGATTCCCCAAGGGCATTGCCATTGACGACCAAGGATTTGTTGTCGTTGCCGACTCTGGTAACAACAGAGTGCAAGTATTCCGTGGAAACGGCAGGTTTTACTGTATGTTTGGATCTTATGGGAGTGACAATGGACAATTCAAGGGTCTAGAAGGTGTGGCCATTCTTGGCAACGGAAATATTGTTGTTAGTGATAGAGAAAATCATCGAATTCAAATTTTTTGAATCAGAAATATCTTATTAGTATTATGAATCATGATTGAACCACTTACAATGTGAGTTTTGCCAAACTTATGTATAATGGTGCTTGATTGTGATAAGAGTAGGTTCATGCATCTAATCAGGGCTTATGTGTTTTAATTGTTACGTCTTCTGAGACATAGGTATGTGGTGTTCGAGTTGTGATGCTACCCAGATTTTGTGATAAGATATATAGTACCTCGGAACATATCTCTGGCTTACAAGAGCGCAGGGTAGATACCTAGGCATAAAATGTCAGGGGAAAACACAGTTTTACATGTGCATTTATAGTGATACAGACATGCTGGAGCAAAGCATGTAATTTTGCGCACATCTGTTGCAGTAATTTCTGCTGTTTACATGTATGATTCATCAGTCATTGTTGCCATAGTTACACATCATTCCTGGTCTCCAGAAGTCTTGCTTAACATAGCAGAAGTATATAGTTTTTAAATATTTTCTCTACACAGTGAAAAGAAATGAAATGTAGGTGATTTTAGATGCTGTGATTAACCCTTGCCAATTTTGATAGGAACAACCAAATACATTGTTGATATATGAATGCAAATGTATAGGGTATGCAGAGTTACAATATATATATAGTTACCTCATGAATATGTGCTTAAGGGGTTATCTTACTAGTTGCCTCATGAATATGTGTTTAAGGGGTTATGTTACTAGTTGCCTCATGAATATGTGTTTAAGGGGTTATGTTACTAATTGCCTCATGAATATGTGTTTAAGGGGTTATGTTACTAGTTGCCTCATGAATATGTGTTTAAGGGGTTATCTTACTAGTTGCCTCATGAATATGTGTTTAAGGGGTTATCTTACTAGTTACCTCATGAATATGTGTTTAAGGGGTTATGTTTTGTTTACTATACAGAAAAAACTGTGCACACATATTTGATTCAGTGTGTACAGGAAGACCTCAAATTTAAGGTCAGTTGTTGAAAAAAAAAAGACAACTTCTTTTGCAGTAAAAGGTAATTATATACTCAATTATGAAAAAAAAAACACATTTTCTATAAAACAATCATTGCACTGTGAATTACGATATGTGACATCATCAATTTCAATGGATTTGCTCTTGATAATACAATGTCATACAATATTTATATCATGTCAAATATATATCTCTTAAGAAGGAAATCAAATTCATTATAATATCCTAAAAGTAAACAATGCCAAAATTCCTAAAGACATGAATCGTAAATTGTTTTATTATTGTTCTTGATAATGTCATTTTGTGTCATACATATCAAATTTTGATAATACACAAGTGCATGTTAATGTAAAAGACAAGATTGAGCCCAACAATACACATTGCCATATGTCTCCCATTGCTGCATCACATGCACGGCATTATTACCAGACATTCCTACCATCCGACTAGTGACTAGGACCTGTCAGTGTAGACTTTGTATACCCTGTGTAAGTAACAATCTCTGACTAAACTCAAGGTTCGTCTCGGTACTCTGAAAATACCTTATTTTGTAGGAAATAACTTGCTCTTGTTCTGAAATATAAACTAAAATGCAGCCATTAATACATAAATGTAGGTCTAAAGAAAAAGATATTGCTTTAGAATATAGCTATAATGTGTATCATATATCAAAAAAATTCTTATCTCTTTTCAATTAGTGTGTTTTTGATGGAATGAATATGTAGCAGCCATATGCTTTCTGAAGTCTGTTATCTCTGTATATAAAATCATCTTTGTTGCCACAATGTACCAAAAATTTATTATCTTTAATGTTGAGTATCACTTTGCCCTTCATCTGTCGTCCTTACATCAGAAACGGAATCTAAACTACAGCTTCGTGATGTAACTACAAATGTTGTTTTGTAATGGGAAAGGGATTAAGACTGTAAACTATTGTAATGTGTTCAAAAGCAGCAGAAATACGCTGATTTAATGAACAATTGTGATGGAGCCGCTGCTTTGCCACTGGTTATATAATGATTACTTAAGATTCCTTTTCTATTTACAGTTTATTTACATCTTCAAAATATACACAGTTACTTACATCTAATACATACAAAACAACAATGTCTCCTCCGGCGACCTCCAGATTGTGATCACATCTCGACTCTCCAGTGTCTATACCACATCTTATCTCTCAGAACCTGATCAACCTTTCATATCCTCGTTCACCTCAATGACTACATACCATACTCTGTTCATGACGCTGTTTACATTTAATAATCACTCTCTCTATAATTTCCTATAAGTAAATTGTCAAACTCCACGAATCATGTCATGTTACTTTCTAAATAATCACCTTACTAATTTTTAAAACAACAAACATCCACCTCACATCACTGAACACTCTCTGATTTACACTGCAGACACTGCTCTCTTATCAACCAATATCCTTGATTCACTGGACACTGTATCTGTCTCTTTGCCTAAAAGTAGCTGCCCCTACTCTTAAAGATAACAGTCTTTCACACAATGATCTGAACAATAAGTTTTTTAATTGATAAATGGTATCATTCTGATTTGAAGTTTTTCTTTCAGAAAATGAAATATAACTAAATATTCATTTACATATATTTCTATTTTTATGAAAAACTTTTAAGGGATCATGATCTGTTCTTCCATGTTAAGTGACTGTGGTATCAATACTGATATTTTAAATGGTGTAGAGACACTGCCAAATCTTTAGGAACAAATACTGTGAAGATATTGTACATGTATGATGTATCTGTCATTTATATTTAATTGTTATATATACCAGAAGTGAAAAAACAGCATAAAGCAACATTAACAAGCCGTCCAGTAGATAACGTTCAAATTATCTGCATTTGTGTTTTGTTATTTTAATACATTCAATCTTTACTCTTTTTTTTTCAATTTACTTTTATTAAAATTATGTTTCTTTTTTATTATTTTTTTTTTTTTTTTGTTATTTTGTTTCACCATTAGATGTTGAAGAGCATTTTACACCAACAAATGTAGTGAAAAAGCTCTGAAAAAGTCAAAGTCAGTACAACATGTAAATGTATTGTTGAATTTTGTCAGAGTATGATACAGTTAAGTTATAGAACAATGATTTACTGAATATGTGTTCTGATTAATTACACTAGTCTAATTATTTTATGTGATGCACTGTGATGTGATGTATGATATTTTAGTTTGATATTTTCTTAATGTGCTGTTTTTGCTTGGTTTTTTTTTTTTTTTTTTTTCATTCTGGGTGTCCAAACTTTCAAAGAAATGAAATTCTTTCATATCACATGCTCAAGATATGTACGACAGATTCAGTCTAATGATGATGTTACATAAATCAAAATGTTTATGACTAAAACATTTTCTGAAGATCTCAGTGATTACATACCAGGTGATAATGTTGTTTACCACCAATGTCTTTCCCTGGCAGATCTCAAGAAATTCTTACACTGGTGTTGATGATAAAATTTTTCATGATAAGATCTCAAAATGTATTTACTGTTCAATGTTATTAATATTCCCCAATAGCATCTTACAGGCTGTATTCCTGTCAGTTACAGGGAAAATCTTTCAAATCTGTATAAATAATGACCAAATATAGTCTAGAGCATCTTTAGGTAATTTAGGGGAATCAGTTTTGTATAAACATAAAATTTATGTCTTATCCACCAGGAGCAGAGGGGCAAGGCACTAATATGCAGAATAAATGTCAAACAGGTGAAATAGAGGGTAAACCTTTGAAGTCTATTTCCTTCAGGTTAGATAAAGTAATTGTGACCAGATTAAGTTAGCTTAGATTTCAGCCCCAATGGGCCTCTTGTTCATTTATCCTCTGGTGAGGTAAAATGTAAAATTTGTGACTCAACTCTCTTGTATGAAAAGGAAACAAATGTAAGATTCTTTTTATCACATATCTTTGATACTTTGTGGAAATACTTGCATGTGAGGCCATGAGGCTATGATATCACAGTTATAGAAACAATGGTAAATTAAATTTCAGCCAATCAAATCTCCCCTAGGTCATATTACCTGTGTGTGATAACAAAACAATTATGTGATGGGTGTTAATGCTGACAACAGGAATACTTATGTGGTATGTAAAAAAATTGTAATAAGCATTTTGACAAATGATTTAGAAACTTTATCATTGAGAATATTTCCGTGGACATTGTATCACATGATTAGATATGATCTATCTCTCCAACACAATGTCAAATTCTGATCATTGTTGAGTGTGTTTTATGTTCTCTTGATTATCATTTCAACAAAACCAGGGTTTAATTCAACATGACAGGTGCACATGTATTTTTGATCTCGCAAGCAGTTTTCTAGGTTTGAAGATAATCATGGGATGGTCTATATAATATGACCTGGGTAGTTAACGCTTATGATGGCATTGTGTAACATAACATACAGAATTTGATGTACAGTTTAGATCACTTCATAGTGTATCAGTGTTTAAATATTGATACTGTCCAATTCAAATTTTAATGATACGAAACTGAAAGATAACCACAGTAGATGTTATCTCTCAGCTTTCACCTGAACAACCACGGTTAGATAAGCATGCAGATTAGAAAAGGTCAGGGGTCATTTGCCTGATCACGTAGGTTTTCTGTAGGTACCCAAGTCTCTCCCCCATATTATCACTATATGTTGAGGTCTGGTAATACAAGGTTAGGCAAATTGTATCAGAAAGTGAAATATATGAAGTTAAGTGGTTAATGACAAAGTCAAGTTGCTTCCACTGAACAAAATAGAAAAACGAAGAAAAAATTAACACTAAAAGTATATAAATCTGACCTCAACAAACCATTTGCTGCGAATTTAAAAGTTGTGTTCCTAATTCTGTTTAATTCATTTTTGAAAAAGTTTTACTAACCATTGGTCATATGTGTTACTATTTTATATGTATGAGGTGTTTTAGTGCATATAAATATAGATTTATATATATACCTATTCACTTCTGGCTAAGTACAAAGAACTGATATACATCATAAGTAACAAAAGCTTACTTACATCACTATGT